GATCCCTTTAACCAACAGGAAAATTCAACTGCAGTAGCCACCGTTCAACCCATAGAGGGTAGCACAAAGACACTTTTACACCAAATATTAAAGAATTTAAAAAAATTTACACGAAAATGTCAACATTTACACAGAAACATAAAGATAATACCCTTAATGCACAATTTAGACAATTTATCTGYAAACAAAGTTTATTTGGATTTTAGTTACTCTTTAAGTCCACTAACAWAAACAACTATCCTGTCCCACATGACATACCAGAGCACACAGGACTGTAGACGTTTAAATGACAGATCTTGAGTTGTTGGTTATCAGTTAGCTTTAGCTTCCACTAATTTTTTTAGCTGTAGTGGTTTAGTGTTTGCAAAGCTAATTATTTCGGTTTGCTGATTGACTGTTGGCAAATCTTATGTTTTAGTTAGCGGCGCTCACCGCTGCAGTCGGCATTAAAAACAGAAACCATGTTTAAATTTATGTATTAAGCTGTGACAAAAGGGTCAAAATAAAGGTATTTTGCAATAAAATGTGCTTCACTAAGGTTGGAGACTGAACAAGTGCAAACTTTATAACTTGTTTATTTTTTCCTCCTCCATCAAGCTAAGTCCTTGGAAAATGTGGCTCTCACTGGAAAAGCTTCTCAGTCATCAGTTTCTTTCGATGGTTACGCTGCGAGAGCAATTGATGGGAACAGAGACCCAGAGTGGGCCCAAGGATCCTGCACTCATACAAATCTTGCATGGGGGCAGTGGTGGTCGCTGCTGCTACCAGTCGTCTACAGAATCACATCCATTAGTGTCAGCAACAGAAATGTATTTAGTGAGAGGTTGAATAATGTTCAAATCCTCATTGGGAATTCCTTGGAGAACAATGGCAACAAGAACCCCAGGTATTTTAAAGTGCTTTTGCTATTCTTTAAATTGCTTTCAGAATTTGGCCAAAGATTTGGGTCCTATGTCTCCCACTACCTGCTGTATGTTCCTCAGTATCTTGCCCAGTACAATGCCTGCACTGTATTTTATTTATTTGTTTTAAAATACATTTGAAGGGGAGCTAAGCGTCATTTGCCGTGATCTATCATGTAAAATCCACTTTTTTAGCCCTTAAATACATTTAAATACATTCAAACGTCATTTTGACTAGTCATAATGATGTTTGAGACATCTTGAATCGCAATGCTGGGGTATTTATTGACTTAAAGAAAGCATTTGATACAAYTGATCATGAAATACTCATCAAGAAACTTGAGTGCTATGGTCTAAAAGGAGTAGTGTTGCACTGGATAAAAAGTTATATCAGCAACAGGCAACAATTTGTGAAGTTGGGTGATTTCCAGTCCTCATGCTTGGACATCGTCTGTGGTGTTCCCCAGGGCTCTGTATTGGGACCCAAATTGTTTATTTTATACATAAATGATATATGTAAGGTCTCCAAGATACTTTATTTTGTATTATTTGCTGATGACACAAACATTTTTTGTAGGGGTGAAAATTTACGGCAGCTTTTGCTTGAAATGAATTTAGAGTGATGTAAACTGAAAGTGTGGTTTGACATGAACAAGTTGTCATTAAACTTAGAAAAAACAAAATTTATGTTATTTGGGAATTATAACGGGCAAAGTGATTTACAAATAAGAATAGATAATGTGATTGTGGAGAAAGTGACTGAAATCCGGTTTTTGGGAGTATTGATTCATAATAAGATCTGTTGGAAACCTCATATAAAAATATGTTCAATCTAAAATAGCAAGAAATATTGCAGTTCTTTTCAATGCTAGAAAATTTCTAAACTCCTCTGCACTATGTTTTGTACTTTTCACTTATCTTACCATATCTAAGTTATTGTGTGGAAGTTTGGGGCAACACTTACAGAACTTCACTTCAACCATTATGCACATTACAGAAACGAGCCATTCGTTTCGTTCACGAGGCAGATTATACCCACATTTAATTTATAGATTCTTACTTACTGAAATTCACTGATTTGGTAGAGTTTCAAACTGCACAATTTATAAATAAAGTCAGAAACAAAATATTACCAGAAAATATTCTAAACTTATTTTCTGATAGAGTGGGTGGGTATGATTATAGAGTAAACCTCAACTTTAGAACTTTGAAGGCTAAAACAAGGAAAAAAAATGTGCATTTCTGTCATTGGTGTGAAGATCTGGAATAAACTCGCTAAAAAGCTGAAGCAAAGTACAAGCATGAGGTATTTTAAGAAAGAACTCAAAATGATTATTATTCAAAAGTATAAAGATGAACAAAGGGGGTGAACCTGGCTGGGTAGTACAGTCTTGTGGATGATCTCAACAACTGGGTACAGGTTTGTGCATGTGTGTGTAACTATATATAGGTGTGTAAAGTGGTGTGTATTATTTAGATAAATGTGAAGATAGATGAGTATGTACAGTAAGTGGTGTGTTTTCATGTAAATGATTATGTACATCATAGTAAGGTATGGTGTTTTATTTATATTATTTATATGGTTTGTTTTTGTGGCACTTGTCGGTGAAATGTTTGTCTGAAATAAATCATCATCGTCGTCATCATCATCATCATCAATTACGGATGTTTGACCCTTCAAATGATGAATCCAGTGACGTCATTTTAGATATCTTAAATTACATTTTGACTAGTCAAAATTCCTCTTAAGATACTGTAYCTTGAATTGGAATTATGACTAGTCAGAATGTTAATACAGATATCTTAAATTAACATTCCGGACAGTCAAAATGTAGTTATTCCCAGTCAAAACTCATTTACAGATACATCTAGAATGTAATTACAGATAGTCAGACAAAACCAATTTTATGCTAAAATGGCCTGCCATAGTGGCACATCAGAATCAGATTTACTAATACATAAACCCTACAGAACAACTTATTAACTATATGACTGGCTGAAGTTAATGAATTATGTTTCATATTTCATTTCAGTATTCTTCACACAAACAAAACATTATCTCACTTGATCAAACCAGTTATTATGTCCCRCCTTTATTTAGAAATGAAGTCCATGGTCCATCTGTCTTCCCCGGGGTTGTTCAGAACAGCCACCGACACTGTTTTGTAGAAACACCAGGASACCACCAAGAATCCAGTGATCAGAATCCAAATCCAGAACAGAGGTCCCACCTTTGACATGTCCTCCCATGGAAGAAAACTTTGTTCCAAACATTTATTAAGAGACCAGCTAACCAAWTCCATACWAATAAAAATATCCATAATTTCTGGTTTTGGATGAAAACATAGAGGAGGCTCAGAGCRGCGAAGCAGGGAAGGTAAGGGAGGGCAGGAGAGAAGGAAGAACTCCTCTAAAAGCAGGACAAAAAACAGACTCTGGTTCTGGGTCAGACTCTGGTGCCAACATGTAAGGCTGGATGGACACGTCTTCTGTTGTTGACATCTTTCAGTTCATTTGTAAATAAAATSTTTCTGTACTGCAAGATAATCCTGTCTCTGCTATCAAACTACAAAAATGGCAGAACAGGGTGGCGAGGACAATGATCACTGAGAGCAAGACCTGAAGGGGTGCGGGGWGTGAAGCACCGTATTTGTATTTAAAGAGACAGCCTCAAAACGAGTTGCTCTGAGACACGCCTCAGAAAAGGGGAGAAAGAGGGGCTTGTAGAGTTACAGTAATGAGGAATTCAGACCAAAGCACTGCAGTTCTGTTCTATATGGACCCCAACCCTGTGAAKATAGGATAGGTACTGGGTAAATGGGGTCAAGTCTCTTCTGTACTGGAGATTTAGGAACAAAAACTACTTGGCTAGGTTTAGGAAAAAGGACAATAATCTTTGCAAAGAGCTACAATGGATGATTTCATAACATTTTATCTATTATTTTTTTATTTTATTTACTGAATAATAAATGTTAAAAGTTATAACAGCTAAAACAAATCACGATTGAAAAGGAGCAGGAAGAAATATGTAAAAACTTATATCTGCCCCCAATATTAACTTAGAAGAACTCAACTCATATTTCAAATACACAAAGATAYGGAAAAACATCAGCTTATTCAGTACCATATCGCTTCATCATAATGATTTTCAAATTTCTTTGAAACACATAAAGAGATTTAGATTGTTTTATGTCACTATCAGGACTGTTGCATMAACTGACACCTTTAATTGAAACGGGTCTTTCCATCGTCGCTGTTCTGAACCTAATTTATTTAAAAATCTCAGTTCCTTTTAAGTGATGTCACATGACTGGACACCAACTTTAAATTACAGGAGAGTAGATTGGCAAAGCTTTTCTCTGTAGTTTGTGCTTAATTAAAAAAAAAAACTAATGTCACATTACATGTGTTTTTCTCAGATGTACTGTTATTCCCTCCATACCATCTGGAGGTACCACGTCTTTCAACTGCACAGGAATGACGGGTCGGGTGGTGAATTTGTTCAGTTCTGCATACAATGTTCTGACAATTTGTGAAGTAGAAGTATATGGAGGTAAATTCAAGTTTTGATATTACAAATATGTTTTTCACTGTGAGCCACCAAACTATTCAAGCCAAGGTTTTTGAAGAAAACACTACAGGTTTAACTTTGATTTTTGATGCCTAATTTTCCTAGAACCGGCAGCTCCTCTAGCATCCTTCAGCGCCGAGGTGATGGGGAGGAAAATAGCCGTTGTGGAGGAGAAGCTGTGTTGGTCAGATGCCCTGTTGTACTGCAGGGAGTACTACTGGGACCTGCTGAGCATACGCAGTGCGCGGGAGCAGAGTGGGGTGGAGGAGGTGTTAAAAAACCTGACAGAGTTTTTTCCCACTCCTACCAGACACGTTTGGCTGGGACTGCGCAGGTATTCTGTCTCACTGAAATCACCACAAGTGAAATAAAAAAAATCAGCRTATAAAAGAAGGTAGATGTGGAGTTTTAGTTTCGCTTGGCTAAAATCRCATGGACCATTTTATTACAGCTGTTGAAATTTAGCAAAATATTGTACACTTACCAGAAAGATATCATGAGATGTTCATGTAAAACCGATGACCTTTGGGAGCAATTCAAGATGGCTGTCACAGCCGACAGACCTCACAAAACAAAATGGTGGTAATTTATGCCCCTTTTCCACTAGTGCCAATAGTGTAGTGTCGGTACGGTCAGTGTCGGAACGTGTCAGTTCAGGTCCTTTTCCATTGACGTTCCGGTCCGGTGGGTGTGTCAAAACACCCAAAGGCTGTTGGTGGAGGTGGTTTTTGGGTTTTTTAAAAAAAAAAAGTTAATGCGCAAAATGAGAGATGGAAACACATTTGCCAAATAAGTTCTGAAATTTTAAAAATTCGCTAAAATTCTAATTAAAATTAGATGGAAACACGAGTAATGTCACTCTGTTACAATTGAAAAAATGTCTCCTTGAGTTGTTGTTGTAAAGGCAGCTTTAGACGCAACCAGTGACTCCACCCCTTAGTCAATCAGTGACGAACAGTGTTCTGACGTCGCATTTTGGTGTCTACTGGGACCACTTGGAGCCACAACAGTAGGTACTAAAAAAGGGCTGGTTCCATGAATCTGGCCTTATGGAAATGGCTTGGAACCGTACCGAACTGTACCGACACTACACTAACACGTCAGTTTCACCGATACTGAGCTAAAATTTGGAGGGGTAGTAGCTGAGAGTCCTCCCCGACATATACTTGGAGTGCTAACAGATGGGCACATCTTTTTTTAAACTTTACTGTACGAGTCAGCTGGCAGTGCTTTTCTTCAAGGGTTTTCATCTTTTAACAAGGGCCTGGGTGCTGCAAAGCAGTGGAAAGCACTTATTTTTGACCTGATTATCATTATTTTTCCGCTAAATGGAGGCTTTTTACACTGTTAGTTATTTTTATTCTTCTGCCAACATGAGGCTAATTTTACTATGTTCTATGTTCTAGTGGGCTGAACTCTATGAAACTTATTATTAGGAACTAGTGTACATATAGGGACGCACAAAAATCCTGATGTGAGTGTGGGATATTGTTTCACTAGCACCATCTTGATCGCAACCCCTCTGACTACTTTAACATAATGCGTACAAAATTTGGTACATAGGTGCACCAGTTCAGGTCCTACAAAAAGTCTCTTGGTACCACATTATAAAACCTACAGGAGTCAATAATTAATTTTATTTATTTGTTCATAGATATCTAAGAGGCAGCACATGGTTTTGGATGTCGGGTCCCCCCATGTACTACGTCAAATGGGAACACCAACATATCTGGCAAGTCTCCAGTCCCTGTGGTGGCATAGAGACCAGCGAGCCGTTCTACTGGAGAGATCTTCCGTGTTGGGACAATTTCTATTTCATTTGTTTGAAAGGTTAAAACCCAGTCTTATGATGTTTGTGTGATTTGGTGATAAGAGTTAGAAAACATTTAGCTGTGTTACAGCCTTGGTTTTGATCTACCTCTTTATTTCTGTCTTTACAGATTTTGAGACAGGTGGGGTAAAAGCAGGGTTCTCCAGTTACGTAGTTTAACCTGTCCCTGTGGACAGGAACCATTCCTGAAGGAAACTCAACAACCTTTCACATCAGCTCCTAACAGTCTATTTTTCTGTGTGGTTTAGCTTTTAACATAAAACATATTCTTTCTTCTTCAGTTATCAATTGATGAATTCTTTCTGAACATTCAGTAAAGTTATTAAATGACTCCGCAACTGTGATGTTTTCTTGAACATTCTTCATTCAAACTGAAACTCAGCAGTGGGCACCAAAAGGTTAAATTTGCTAACTCATAATCGGCTGTGGTGGAGTGGTTAGGAACTGGAAGGTTGCCGGTTCGATCCCCCGTACAGCCGTTTCAGTAGTTGTGTGTTTGGGCAAGACCTACTGATGGTGGTCAGAGGGTCCAGTGGCRCCGGTGCATGGCAGCCCCGCCTCTGTCAGTGTGCCCCAGGGCAGCTGTGGCTACAGTGTAGCTTACCATCATCAGTGTGTGAATGTGAGTATGAATGTGTGTGTGAATGTGTGAATGTCTGAAGCGTAAAGCGCTTTGGGGTCCAAGTGGATTTAATAAGGCGCTATATAAGTTCGAGCCATTTACCATTTATCTGCTAACTTAAAACTTATCTTAGTTAGGATCCATCTTTGGTCAATACAAAACATGTACATTTGATTTAATTCACAAGATGAATCTCAGATAGTGAGATTTCACCTTTTCAGTTCTGCCTGTTCTAAGCTCCTTTCAACGCCCTCCCAACCTWTTCTTTACTTTAGCTCCACCCTCCCAACACAGCATTTTTGTTAGCACTTCAGAGACATAAAAATGGCTGCTACAAGCAGATGTACAAYGGTACAAGAGTAGTAGACAGGGCATGCGCGATGGTGGTGTCCGTGCTGCAAGCTCAGTCGCTGTTGCCGCTTCCCTGGAGCCAGCCTCGGTCGTTGATCACAGCCGTGCATTACTGTTCAAAACTAGTTGTGATAAATGCAAATCATGTTCATGCCAAACAGCAACACTAAACACACAAGACGTCACTTACATCTGCAGATTTGTGAGGAACAGTAGGGACAGAAGTTTCCTTTCAGTAGAAAGTCCTTGAGCACGTCCTTCTGTGTACTGATTGTGTACTGTGTACATTTTTTAGCAATACTGCAGGGACACTGCCATCAAAAATAAAAATAAAATTAAGCCACACATCTCTGTTCTCCATGACTGTTGTAAAAACAGCAGAACTAACGTGGTTGTACCGTGAAGAAGTGGGCGGAGTCTCTGCTCTGGTTACCAGGTGAGGGGCTGGGCTAACTACTATAACAGAAGAGAAGGGGTTATCTGCAGAATCAAAGTGGGCGTGTCACAAGAGTGGGCGTGTCAACAGCATAAACACTCTGGGCTACGAGGCCTACATGGCGGTATCCTTAGACCCAGCTTGACCTCTTTACAGCCTGACCCTGACCCCAACACTAAGGTTAACCAGGAGAAATGTGACCCAAGTAGGGTTCTCCAGAAAAAGTGGTGCCGTACAGTAACGCCCCTTTTGTGCTTGTCCAGTCAGGTGTGTCCCTTTAGAATCGCCTTTCCTTGTGACACGCCCACTCGTCCGCAGAGACCCCTACTTGGACGCATTGGCAAATATGTTTATTCAAACTATAAAATACTAATACTGGAACTAATAAAAAC